GCACCTTCTGCCTCCTGGTGGTGGTGGTGGTGGTGTTCGCCATCTGCTGGCTGCCGCTGCACGTCTTCAACCTGCTGCGGGACCTCGACCCGCGCGCCATCGACCCCGACGCCTTCGGGCTGGTGCAGCTGCTCTGCCACTGGCTCGCCATGAGCTCGGTCTGCTACAACCCCTTCATCTACGCGTGGCTGCACGACAGCTTCCGCGAGGAGCTGCGCAAGCTGCTGCTGGCCTGGCCGCGCAAGATCGCGCCGCAAGGCCAGAGCATGACTGTCAGCGTGGTCATCTGAGGCCACTGCACCCGGCCTGGGCTGGGGAGCTCCAGGACCACTGGTCTCTGAGGGTGCCCACCGAGGCTGGGCTGGAGGGCTAGCTCCCAGCTCCAGAGCTAAGCCAAGACGGGCCAAACTTCCAGCCCAGCCCCCTTGTCCAGCAGCTTTGCCTTGTGCTTGAGTCTTTGTGAAATGTTAAGTGGGCTTTGGTGCAAGTGCTTTGCTTGGAGGAGGCCCCGGGAGAGGAAAGGGGATTTATTATTTGTCTCTTTATGCTTTAAAGGCCAAACAAAGCTCTTGGGTTTTAAAACAGTGTTTCCGAACCGTGTTTGCCTCCCATGCCTTGCCTCCTGTTTGCTCAATGGTGAGATGAGACGGAACAATGGGGGTAGGAGTTAAAGTGACTGCGTAGGAGTTTGGCAAAGCTCTTCAGTTTGCCTTTTAAAATGGATGCAATTTTTAAGGCTGAGGTATAATGCCTGATATTGCTTCCCTAATTTGAACCCATTTATTTCTAAAATTCTGGGGAAATAGGCATTCCCAATCTACAGCTAGGATGTTAGCATTTCCTCAACAAGACCTTGATACATCATTTTCATTTGAAATCCACTTGCATTTATAGTACAAAACACTTAAAAACGACCTTTGAAAAGGTCTTGCTGTTATGTTCCCCCTCCTCATCCCCCACTTTTATTTGAAAATGATGAGATAAATTAGTTAGTGAAGAGATAAATAAATAGGAATAAAGAGGAAAAGGTACCAGTCACTTAAGGGGGCAGATAGCCGTGCAGAGGACAGACCTTCTCTCTGTGTGTATGTTTGTGTATACACACCCAGTGCTTGCCACTGGTGGGCACTCACATATTTGCTTTCCTGAACATGCAGTGGCAGCTGCGTGCCACGCATTCTCCTGCGTTCTCCAATCGCTCGGCCGCAGCAGACCCACAGCTGTCTTCCAGCCACTCAGCACCTGCTCTGCAGTGACACTTGGAACATGATCAATCCAGATGACAAGGACTGGGAGAAGTTTCCTTAAGGCCCAATCAGAAAAATAAGCAGTCACTCACAGGACACACAGATCAAACACGTAATTCCTTCCACACATGGTTAAGGGAACAGGTGAAGGCCGTTGGGCCACGATACCATGCTGCTAATTCTCACCTTAACCTCCTGAGGACCTTCTGTAAACTAGGACAAGTGCCCCGTGACAAGGGTTTCCACACTGATGTTGGGACAGCAAGCGGGCAGTGAGGGCAGGCGTGTTAGGAAATGACACCTGAAATCCAGCTGTCAGATCAGCCCCCGTGGCATGCAGGGCCTGAGCTATGTCTGCAGCCTCTCGGTTACCAACTGTAAGATTCCAGGGCTGCCATAGCTCACTAAGCAGCTGAATCCGTGTTTCCCCACCTCCCTTTCTCTTACTCCCGGAAAGGAGCGCATTCACTCATTAAGGTGTTCCCTGAAAGGAAGCGGAAGAGGGGGCGATTTGGGGATGACAAGGATTCAATGCTATTACTCCAGTGCCAACAACCAGGATGGAAGAGTGAGGACTGGTGGTTGGGCTAGTTATCAATCCGAGTCTTTAGTAGTTATATGGCTCGAGTGTTTGAAGCATGGGGAAGGGTAGGAAAAGCCTGGCTTGGGAGAAAGGAAAACACAGGTTAACTCGGGAGATGCAAGTTACCTTTGGCAATGACACTAACACGAGCGGTCGGCTTCACCTGTGGACGTGGAGAACAAAGACCCTGTGCTCTAATAATGCAGCCCGCCCACAACGTTGTGTCCCTCCCCCTCCCAATGGACTCATCTCCCAGGCACCCCAGGGACAGGCTCCTGTGCTTCCAGCAGTTCCGTTACTTGCGAGGCTCAAGGCCACGCATGTCACGTTTCCTTAGAGCAGCGGTTCTCAACCTGGGGGTCGAACGACCCTTTCACAGGGGTCGCCTAAGACCATCGGAAAACACATATATAATTACATATTGTTTTTGTGATTAATCACTATGCTTTAATTATGTTCAATTTGTAACAATGAAAATACATCCTGCATATCAGATATTTACATTACGATTCATAACAGTAGCAAAATTACAGTTATGAAGTAGCAACGAAAATAATTTTATGGTTGGGGGTCACCACAACATGAGGAACTGTATTAAAGGGTCGCGGCATTAGGAGGGTTGAGAACCACTGCCTTAGAGCATTCTTTGGTTGAGTATGTGTGGAGAGTGGAGGCGATGGGGGAAAGGATGGGATTAGTGGGGGAGAAATATGACGAATTGGGGTCTCTTTGTTGCAAGGTTAAATTCACTGGTTCTCAGCTCTGGCTGCTCTTAGAATCACCTGGGGGAGCTATCAGAAAACATCACTACCTAGACCAGCGGTTCTCAACCTGTGGGTCGCGACCCCTTTGGCGGTTGAACGACCCTTTCACAGGGGTCGCCTAAGACCATCCTGCATATCAGATATTGACACTACGATTTATAACAGTAGCAACATTACAGTTATGAAGTAGCAACGAAAATAATTTTATGGTTGGGTCATAACATGAGGAACTGTATTTAAAGGGCCAGAAGGTTGAGAACCACTGGCCCAAGACCCTCTGCTCACAGAGTCCCATTGATGTGAGATGGGGCTGGGCATAAGTGTTTGTTTTTTTTTAAAGCAGTTCAGTTGGTTTTAATATAATCAGGGATCTATAGGTGTTCATTCAACAGTTTCCTTACACATTTCCTATGCGTAAGGCACTGTATGAGTCCAATCAGATCAATTGCATTATAAAGTTATACACCAGGAATTACTCCAAATCCCAAAACTGAAGTATTCCCTGATTAGCCTGATGTAAGAAAGCCTGTATCAACTGTGAGAAGAAAGTGTCCCAATAATTACTAGAAAAGCTGCCACCTGTTTCTATCTTGCCTACAGCTTAAACTTTTTAACACTTATATGGATTTTATGGAGAGCCTGAAGAGGTTGGGGAATTGTGTTGTGTTTAGAAATATTTTTACAAATTAAGCCAATTGACAAATGAATAGCAACTAATTAATTCTTACCCTATTGAAATCTATTTGGGCCTAGTTTGACTATAAAACAAACTTAAAAAAAAATCTCCCACTCCCGTCCAGCGTGGCTCAGTGGTTGAACGTCGATCTATGAACCAGGAGGTCATGGTTCCATTCCCGGTTAGGGCACATGTTAGGGTTGTGGGTTCGATCCCCAGTGTGAGGTATGCAGAAGGCAGCCAATTAGTGATTCTCTCTCATCATTGATGTTTCCATCTCTCTCTGAAATCAATAAAAATATATTTTAAAAAAATCTCTCAGAAGTGAATCCTAGAGAAATCCACATAAGGTTGCAGTAGGGAATTTTATTTGATATAATTCACTTTAGGTAACAGCAAGCATCCAGTCCTCCTCCTGCAAGGAGTCATACAGGCCATAGACCTGGGAACTGAGCCAGTCTGCTACTTGGCAGCAGCCCTTTCCCAGACTGACAGGAGGTTCTGTAATCCTCTTTGCAGGCGTTGTCACCAGGTCTCACTTTTGGCAGTCAATCAATAGATTTATCTCGCTAAATCGGCTGGGGAGTGTTTCAATATGTGTTGGCAACAGTTACCTGGAATTCGCAACTGTGAGAGCTGCGAAGGTAGCAGTACTTCTGTTGATGGAACCTTCCTGAATTTTGTTCTTGTGGACGTTCAGCCTGCTCTTCGACAGGGGGTGCTAAGCTCCATGTTTGTTTTCTCAGGGAGGCTAGTTAACCACCTCTGTCCTGTGGCCTGCATTCCTGAACATCGAGTAGTCTTGCAAAAACAAGGCTCAGAACTGACATCGAGGGGACCCAGGTGAAAGTGGGGCTAGATTTGGGAGTGAGCCCAGGGCCCATCCCCCAAGGAGCACCTTCGTTCCCTAAGGCAGTTCCTCGACTGATTTTCCTTCACGCATTGATGTCTTTGCTATGTGTGTAAGACGCATGTGTGGCTGACTCGCTGTGTAAAGCTCTGCAGGCTGGGGCTTGTGCTGTGTTTGACATATTTTGGGTGCTCAATAAATATTAAACCAGTAGTAGAGTCTTCAGTGGTGGGATTCATAAACCAAGCCAGTTACACACACAGTGTAACTACACAACCTTAGGATGACCAAGGTTAAAGCAAGGATAAATCATGCCCAGAAAAACATGCTACTCAGTCTGGATTTGTCAGTTCCAGCAGTTTCAGGAGTGAACTGTTACTTGGGGTTTTCTGTGAACCCCTGGACCCAACCTCAGTAATGACAGCATTTCAGGACATGGCACCGAGCTCTGTGCTCTCCAAGATTGCATGGGCCTAACTCCACAGGCCCATCAAAGGGAGAGTAGAGAATTTCAGGATTAGTGTCTATACCATCATGAATCTGGCTCATTATTTAAATGTTGGCATTTTATCACCCTCTTCCACATATAACTTGGGGAATTTGAAAAACATTCAACACTTGGGCCTTTGAACAAAATTTGATCATCTAGATTCCAAAACATTCATGACAGAATCATAAGCAGGACTTACTGGTACTTCTAAAATAGAAGTTAAAAAATGAACTTAGGTTCACCTTTCCAGGGATCCATATATTTTGCTAAATGAGACAAGCTAGTCTACTGATGTTGGAAATGCAAAATATTTATTTGGATGGATGAGAGTTGCAATCTGGATTTGTTAAAAGATCAGACACCCTCAATGAGTCTTTGGAAGGAGAAAGCCTTATTTTGAATTGAGTGTGCACACTTCCAACAGGTTTTGAATGGTTCTTCTCTTCTTTCCAATTCAATTCCTCTTCATTTCCCACTCTTCAGTTCTCTATTCTGCCCTTTTCTTCTTTCCCATATTATCTATGAAATACCCCAGTGAAGGGGAGCTGGTGAGATTCAAGCATCCATCTCCCTGTGGGTCCTTCTAAGGTGAGTCATATTGGAGAGCGACCCTGCTATTCCGTTGCAGAGGGTGGACGGCACCCAACAAGTGGAGGGCTGCTGTCCTTGCATTTCCTGCCCACTGTGGGGTCTCGGAGCTCACACCACTGATCGTCTCACAGATGACTGAGCAGTGGTGGGTAACAAGAGTTTGCACAGAATCTCTGCAGGGCCCATTATGCGGCAAATCACCCAGAGAGCTCGCAAGAGGGGCCTCGCAATGAGAAGTCAAATGTGTCCCATTAAGCCAGAATAAGTAAATAACAGAGTCTATTAGGCATTCCCTGCTCCCTCCCTCAGCTCTCAAAAAACCCTCTTCTCCACTTGCTGGTGACTAAATCCTGTTCCCACCACTGCCCCTGAATTCATCTCCTCCTTCTAGAATGGCCTCTAATGATGAATGGAAAGCTACACTCTTGCCTACCACACACAATGAGTTATTGCCAAGTAAAAATAAATTAAAAATCCTTTGAGCTGGAAATATTAAGTGAAAACTGCAGGCCTGAGCTCTGGGCTAGAAGTCAGGCACTGGGCTTCTTCCCTAATCCACAGCACCTGTCGCCCTTGGTCTTCTTCCTTGGAGGCTCGCCCATCATCTGGGTGGGAGGCTCGCCCATCATCTGGGTGGGAGGCTCGCCCATCATCTGGGTAGGAGGCTCACTGCTGTAGCATAACCTGCCCCAGGGCGGTCAGATGGGTGGCCTGGCCTTGCTGGGTGGAACCTAAAACAAGCAGGTTCCTGTGTGGAGCGAATCCTTCTGAGGCTGCTCTGCCCATTGGGGAACACTGGCCTCCTCCTTATTACAAAGACCCAGCGGGGGACGCAGGTGGGAAATCAGAGCGCTGATAAGCACCTTCAATGGCCATCACCGTTTCTTAAAAACAGGCCCCTGTTTATTCCAATTTCCTTCCTACCCCAGGCTTCTCCAGGGAACCCCCTTTCTTTCTGTGACATAATTACAGAACGCGGGGCATCTACACACCAACATTGCTTTCTGGGAGACAAATGTCTTCTTAGGCTTATAATGACATTAATAATAAGCGCTCTTGAAGTGCAGCTGATGGAGGCAGGTGCTTCCGCCTGACCTAGCCACCAGGGCATGGCCTCGTCCGGGACACGCGGGTGCCTGTGGTCTCCTACATCCTTCCGCAAACGAGGTGAGTGGAGGAGGAGGATCAGGAGCCCGCAGTTTTGCGGGGGCCTGCGCGCTGCACCAGCACGTCTAGCGCCAGTGCTAGTGCCTCTCGCCCCTGCAGGGTGAGCTGGCTCCGGGGACTGGTTGAGGGTCCACAGCTGGGCTGCCGGGCCATTCTCCCTGCCGAAGAGCAAAGGGTGTCGTTGGTGGGACGTCAGCAGGCCTGTAGTTCTGGGCTGTGCAAGGACCACTCGGGTGCCCACCAGCGAGTGGGCTGCTGGCCTTGGCCTGGCCTAGGCGCCTGAATCGCAGCGCTGGGTGCCCAGCGCCTTCCTCTGCTACCACGTGGTCCTCCCGCAGCCCCGCGACCTTTCCCTGTGGGCATTTTGGCTTCCTGTCCTCATGTGAGTTCATGGCTATTCTGTAGCTGCGCCACGCGGCAGCGGCGCTCCAGGCGCCTCGTGGTGGCTAGAGCGCCGGACCAGCACCAAGGCGGCGCCATGGTGACGCGGGGGGTCGCCTCTGGCGGAGTCTCACAG